ATAAAAGTCTATTTTCTTAGCACTGCACAGTTCTGATGGCAAGCCAACTAAGTACAATCAAATAAAATAAGTCATAAAACATGAATAATTTCAGAATCATTTACCGAGTGTAACTAGAAAATAGATCGGGTCATTTAAATTTATGCACTGATAAAACTAGCTTATATGCAGTACAAACAGTACTCTTTTTTAAATGTTAAAATTATCAACAAATATTAAAAGATTCCTTATGTATTCCTAAGAAAAATTGCTGCGCGCTGTTTTCCATTGCTATTTACAGAATGAACGTGTTGGAATGATTTATATAAACTGATATACACAAGCGTCATGTCACCAGTTCTCCACCAGAGGTCAATGACACTAAATTATTGAGATTAAATCCCATCATATCATCTGTAATCGTCATATCTTTATGACAGTATACTGTAATGTGAACTTGTAATATTTTTAACATTTATGTAATATCTAGATTTTTTTTCCTTTTTGGAATGAAAGTTACTGAATATAGTTCCCATTATAAAGTGTTACAGAACTTCAACAATACAGTTTGAATGTAATTGCCTATTTATGCTCACTTATATTTGCTACACCATGTATTGTTATAAGAGTTTTTGGATAGTTATTTTATTACAACCAAAATGAAGAGTCTGTGATACATATTTGTGCAATAAATTTAAAGAGGTTATATGGATCCCTAAGAAATAAATAAACACCAAAGAGGAAGGAAAATATTTACAAAACTAGAATCAGAGCTCATGGGACAAAAGCAGATGTTTCTTTGTCTATGGAAGTTTTCTGTTTTAAAAGAGAGAGAGATTTGGGGAGAGACTATGGTTAATCTGCGTACTAACCCTAATTGAGTACTAATTATGATTATGGGCATGAGCCTCACTGACATGACTCACTAAGAGCATCCACATCCATATATATATATATATATATTATATACACAGTGCTGTGAAAAGGTTTTTGCCCCCTTCCTGTTTTTTTTGTTTATTTGTCACACTTAAAAGATTAAGATCATCAAACAAATTTTAATATTACACAAAAATAACCAGACTAAATACAAAATGCAGTTTTAAAATAATGATTTCATCTATTAAGGGAAAAAAAGCTGTACAAACCTGCCTGGTCCTATGTGAAAAAGTAATTGCCACCCTTTGCAGCAACAACTGCAATCAAGCATTTGCGACAACGAGTAACGAGTCTTTCACGTCGCTGTGGAGGAATTTTGGCCCACTCTTCTTTGCAGAATTGTTTGCCACATTGGACATTGGAGGGTTTTCGAGCATGAATGGACTGTTTACGGTCATGCCACAGCATCTCAATCGGATTTAAGCCCGGACTTTGTCTTGGCCACTCCAAAACCTTAATTTTGTTTTTCTTGAGCCATTCAGAGGTGGACTTGCTGGTGTGTTTGGGATCATTGTCCTGCTGCATAACCCAAGTGCGCTTGAGCTTGAGGTCACAAAGTGATGGCCGGACATTCTCCTTCAGGATTTTCTGATAGAGTGCAGAATTCATGGTTCCATCAATTATGACAAGTCGTCCAGGTGCTGAAGCTGCAAAGCAGCCCCAGACCATCACAGACACTACCACCACCATGTTTGACTGTTGGTATGATGTTCTTTTTATGTGTTGGTTTTACGCCAAATGTAACGGGACACACACCTTACAAAAAGTTAAACTTTTGTCGCATCAGTCCACAGAATTTTTGCCCAAAAGTGGTCAGCAGTGGCTTTTGCCTTGGAACTCTCCCATGGATGCTGTTTTTGCCCAGTCTCTTACTTATTGTTGAATCATGAACACAGACCTTAATTGATTCAAGTGAGGCCTGCAGTTCTTTAGATGTTGTTCTGGGTTATTTTATGACCTCCTGGATGAGTCGCCGTTGCGCTCTTGGAGTAATTTTGGTAGGCCCCAGCACTCCTGGGAAGGTTCACCACTGTTCCAAGTTTTCTCCATTTGTGAATAATGGCTCTGATTGTGGTTTGCTGGAGTCCCAAAGTTTTAGAAATGGCTTTATAACCCTTTCCAGACTGATACATGTCAACTATTTTGTTTCTCATCTGTTCTTGAATTTCTGCGGCATGATGTTTTGCTCTTTACACGTGCTTCACTTTGTCAGACAGCTTCTATTCAAGTGATTCCTTGATTCAACAGGTCTGGCAGTAATGGACAGGTGTCTTTTATACTGATAACGAGTTCAAACAGATTCCATTAATACAGGTAACGAGTGGAGGACAGAGGAGCCTCTTAAAGAAGAAGTTACAGGTCTGTGAGAGCCAGAAATCTTGCTTGTTTGTAGGTGACCAAATACTTATTTTACCGAGGAATTTACCAATTAATTCTTTAAAAATCCTACAATGTGATTTTCTGGATTTTTTTTTCTCATTTTGTCTCTCATAGTTGAGGTATACCTATGATGAAAATTACAGGCCTCTCTCATCTTTTTAAGTGGGAGAACTTGCAGAATTGGTGGCTGACTAAATACTTTTTTTCCCCACTGTATATATAGGCCTATACCTTATCTGTCATCACAGTATATGTTTATATTCAACATATTCAACAGTAAAGACAATGTTAGGAAAGAACACAATTCCCAGTGACTAAGAAAAAATAAGAGACTTCTATCGCACTGAAACTGGGTCTAAAGGGCCCACCGGAAGGGTGTCATCTTAGGTCATTTCCTGCCATTCAAATTCAAACACAGGCGCTGTCCTGCTCAACACAAACACAGGATGTGATACTTAGCTAGATTTATCAGAAACAGGCAGGCAACAGACACAATGGCAAGACATGTTCTAACTTACATACTTTTGTGACCAAGTAGTCTGTCTTCAGTCTCTGTTTGGGGCTACTTGTCACTAGGGCTGTAAATACTACACTCAAAAAAATGCTGGGTTAAATACAACCCAGTGCTGGGTAAAATAGGGACAAACCCAGCAATTGGGTTGTTTTGACCCAGCGGTTGGGTTACTGCTGGGTTTGTCCCTATTTAACCCAGCACTAGGTTGTATTTAACCCAGCATTTTTTAGAGTGTAACAATGGTTTTATATGTTGGTTTCAAACATTTAGTTCATATTTTTGTATGTTATCCTTTTACATTTATGGTATTTCACAAGTCATTTTGTTTCATATTAGTTTCATTTCTAGATGTTTCTTTAATGTCTTTGGTATACATATTGTTAAATGAGATCAGTACACTCTAAAAAATGCTGGGTTGTTTCAACCCAATTTTGGGTCAAATATGGACTAACCCAACTGTTGGGTTAAAAAGTTAATTAAAAAATGTAACCAAAATTTAACCCAACAGTTGGGTTAGTCCATATTTGACCCAAAATTGGGTTGAAACAACCCAGCATTTTTTAGAGTGATAAATTAATTCATCACAAAATATACTGTATGCAATAGAAATAGATTAACAATATCATTAAAACATTATTCACAGCAATTGTTCCCTCTATGTCATAACTTTAATTTGTGAATCATAATTCATTCAAATACATGCTTTTCTTTCATGTTTCATCTCTCCTGGTTTTGTCAGATTCAAAATTATCCTTATTATTGTTTAATCTATTTAGAATGCTATTAACAAAAGACCATCAATATTTCTTTGTTAAAGATTGATACTTGCCAGCTCTCTAGTAGGTTAGACTGGACACTTATACAACCTTTTAATAATGTATCTCTGTAGTCTATATTATACAGTAGGTCAACTCTCATGGTTAATATGGTGTGAATATGATTCTTCATCATAAACCTTAGCATTGTGAAACTTGAGTAGCTTAAGCTGAACTACTAAAAGTATCAGTCTGCTCTATAAAATATACTTCTTATTATCCTAAATCAGATGCTCAGTGTACATCTAAAACTGTACTGGTGAGTGATGTCACGTCGTGAGCAGCCATAGGCTGAAACATCTGGGGAAGTAGTCAAAACAATAAGCAGCCTGGGTAGTTGTTTTTTGTTGGCGGCAGGATGTCGCTCTGAGAAGAGACAAATGAAGCCTGCTGCTTAAAAATGATTTCCTTTGGAAGTTATTCACTAAACAGGATGCATCAGTTTGAGTCCTGTTCTGATACTTGAAAGGCCTACGAACAATTTCTTCTCCATTCTCTGAGATGAACTGAATATTTTCTCCTCAAAGCGAGTAGTATTTTATCATTAATGATACTGACGGGATGATGCGCGTACTGTTTCTGATGTTGTCCTGTTTTGTCGCTGGCGGGACCGATCGAGTGAGCACAACGTGCACAGCTGAGGCTTGCCTTACGTTGCATTCGGAGGAAAAACGTTTTGAAAAAGCTTCAGAAGACTGTATCAATAATGGTGGCAAATTGGTTACTATGAGAAATGAAAATGAACTTCAGAGCATCAAATCAGCTCTTTTAGCAGCAGAGAAATTCAACATCCTTAACTCTACACTTTGGATCGGACTTGTGTTGCAGAAAAGACACTGCACCGATTTCACTGAGGAGTTACACGGCTTCAGATGGACTTCAGAGCCGAGAGATTCCAAATATTCCAACTGGAAAAAGAAACCTTTGAGCACATGCACGGAAAAAAGGTGTGTGTCGATTTCACTGGCAGATGGTCTCAAGTGGTCAGATGGCTCATGTAGAGACGGCGCATTTTATATGTGTACATTTCTCTTCAAAGGCATGTGCAAACCAATAGTGTTGGAGAAACACGGTGATGTCAAATACAAAGTCCCATTCTTATTTACACCGCTAAATCCAAATGAAAGGTTAGCGATGTTACCACATGGGACATTGGCTGAAATACAGTGCGGCGGGTCGGAAGATGCAGAATCTTTTGTCACAGTTTGTGACAACAATAACGGTCTTTTTGGCTGGACAAATTTAGAGAGTCTTTGCGCACGAAATAAACGCTGCAAAAACGGAGGCTGTGATCACCTATGTTTTGAGACTGCAGGAGCAGGTATTAGTTGCGAATGTCATGAAGGTTATTACCTGATGGATGATAAAGTGAGTTGTGCTCTCAGAAATAACTGCGAAAACTCACCTTGCGAATCAAAGTGTATACCGACTGCCACTGGCTTTTCATGCGCATGCGCGGAGGGATTTCATTTGGCTGAAGACAGCGTCAGTTGCGTTGATATCGATGAATGTCAGCAACGTACCTGCAGTGAACACAGGTGTCACAACACGCCGGGAAGCTATTTTTGTGAGTGTAATCCCGGCTTCAGGCTTGTCGCAGGCAAATGTGAAGACGTGGACGAATGCACCGAACTCAGATGTCAACAGGGCTGTCTCAATTCACAGGGTTCATTCTCTTGTTACTGCCACGCGGGTTACAGTTCATCATTAAACGATAGCGGGATATGTGTAGATATCGATGAATGTATCAGTAGACCGTGTGAAGACATCTGCTTCAATACCTTGGGCAGTTTTAAATGTTCCTGTAGGGAAAACTTCATTGTGGCTAAAAATGGCATCAGCTGCGTCCCGGATCCCACAGATAAACCACAAAGCTCTCCATCTTCAGATCATAGAGAAGCATTCATCACTAAACTGAATCAGTTACCTGTCACTTTTGGACCGACAACAGTCTACCCCCCTCCACTTACAAACGCAAAAACGGACTCTAGTAAACGCAAAGAAAGTTTTCTCGGAAGTTCTTGGATTTTGGTGTGTGTCTTAGGTTCGGTTATCCCATTGACTGTGATCATTGTGGTAATGTCAGTCTTTGTCGTCTACCGATGGAAACGGTCAAGTAAAGCCGCTTTAAAAAATGCCACTGCTGACAACTACTGCTGGGTTTCATCTGGATTGGACAAAGAGCAGAAAAAAAAAATGCAACAGTCAACTGAATGATTAAATGAAGCCCAGATATGAATGCTCATTTTCTGTCAGCATCAAATTCAAATGTTCATTAACTCTAATGCTGTGTTTTCCCGTTGCCTACACGTCTTTTTTTCTGTAAATGTTGGACAAATTAGTGAAAATAATAAAACCACACTTGGATATTAAGTTTAATAGAAGTTGTAGGCTATATGTGTTTATGTTGTCGGTTTTTACCATTTACCATTTCTGTCTTGTACCTGTTTGCTGTTAAATTAATTGCTTTGTTTCTTAATTATTTTGCTGATAATGTCAAGATGGGCCCATGTCACATATTGTCAGAAAAGGGCAACGTTTGTATAGTAAACTTTGTATTTCTTTCTGGTAATGGAATAATGGTGGAATGTTACAGTCTGTAGAATGCAAGGTACATAGAAATAAACTTTTTTTTTTTTTATGAACCTTTACTAAGATATATGCCTATGCATTGGAGTAAATTGTGACAATATAGCCCACTCTCCCCCTTTAAATGAAATGACACAGCTGTAGACCTGTTCACAAACTTCACTAAACGTAATCTTATATTTAAGTTTGTTTTTTTCTTTTTTTGATTCACGATGTATGCTACAATTGTTGTAAAAAAAAAAAAAACCTCTGTACATTTTGGTAGAATAAATAAAGCTTCATTGAAGTTTGTGTCGATCTAAAGATTTATTGAAGCAGAGTTTTTAACCCTAATCAAACCCACCTGCATGTAACCTAATAATCAACTAATCATAAAAACCTTGATTAGCTGGTTCTGATGTGTTTAATTAGGGTTGAAACTAAACTCACTGGGTCGTGGCTGCTCGTTCAGCAAAGGAATTGCATAAGCGTTTAATGTGCTTGAGTGAATGAGTGGAGAAAGAATGAATGATTAACAGTGAACGTTAAACTCTTGGGACCACAACCATTTGAAATAGCTACTATTCACGAGTCATTTTCGTCAAGATCATGCATTACAGAGAGCGGGCAGTGCGTGCATTGCATTTATCAAAACAAACTGCGACCAGTCACTCTGGGGTATTTCTTGGCTCCCTCAGGCGGGGTTTCCTTTCTATGTTTACCTTTATCTCCGGAATGGGGTTTCAAAAGGTAGAAATATTTAAAGCTTTGAACACATCCTCATGCAGCTTAAGTTGCTGTAGCTACCCCTTGAAATCAAAATAGGATGGATTATCATAACCATACGATTTTGTTCATCGTGATAATTTCGTCGTGCGCTGGAACGGTATATAGCTGTGCTTGTTCAAGAAATCTAAAACACTGTGCAAACATTTACCAAATGCCAGTGGACTTTCAAACGGCTCAACAGAATTGCAGAGAACGGGGTGGTCAGTTATTTATCCAGTCGAATGCATCAGATGAAGTTGTCGGCTATCTCCTTCTTAATAACCTGATCGGACACTTTTGGACCGGACTCCATCTCCCAAGCGACAAGTGTTTAAGAAATACGAGCACGTTAGGCGAAGGCGAACGGACCACGGAATTCATCAACTTGGAGACCGAAGAAACGTCGTGCGTCCCACTCTGCGTGTCTGTCTCCAGCGACGGAATGCGGACGCCGAGACCATGCACGGACAAGCTGGATGGATTTTTGTGCGAGGACTCTCAAGGGGATCTTTGCAAAGGAAATGCGGTCGTTCTGGATAATGCGCAGTGTATGTTTGCACCCTGTGAACATAAATGTACTCCTTTGGAACCCGGATATAGGTGTTCGTGTATGGAACGATTCCGTCCAAATGCACGAGATCCACGCCGCTGTGATTTCTATTGCGCAACGAGAGTTTGTGAAGCGTTATGTTTGAGAGGGACCCCCTCTCAAACGGCGTGTTGGTGCCCGCCTGGTTTTGTTAGAAACGACCAAACCTGCGAAGATATTGATGAATGTGAATCAAATCACGGCTGCGCACACTTGTGCCTAAATACGATAGGAACTTATAGATGTGCTTGCTACGAGCCGTTCATCCTCGTTAATGGAACTGAATGCACTCTTGCTCCTATTCTATATAATGGTCAAGTATTCACAACACCGTCAAGAGGGGCACTGTCGACCCCAGGAGAGTATGCTGGGCTGATAATATTCCTAGTAGTGGCTGTTTTTGCTCTATTAGTACTTGTGCATTATTTGCGCGGTCGTAACGCAACTGTACATGAATGCAATCCACCAGAGTAAGAAGAGTTTCAAGAAAGTGTATCTAAGTAAATAATAACTGCTACATAAGTTATTTAAATAGCTGGTGGTAATGTCTCTGTGTGTACATCAATATGTTTGTGACTGTATAGCCTACATTCTATGAAGAATTACACTTTTTTTTTTAGTAAGGTGTGTTTTTTTTTTTATTTTATTGTTTATATACGGCATTTATTATGAAGCATGCTGGGCTGTGTTTTTACTTATTTATCTTTTTGTATTGTCTGTGTGATTATGTTTGTATTGAGTTTGTTATATGATGCTACTACCCTACTTTAATTGCCCATTGTGGATTTAATAAAGTTAACTTAACTTGTTGGAATGACTGTAAATGTCTTAATTTGTCTCTATAGCTAAAACTGAAATGTTATGTTCAAATTGAAAACTGAAAAAAAAAAAAAAAATCAAAATATGGGGGTTTTTTTTTTTTTTTTTGTGCAAAAAAAAAAAACACACACACAAGCAAATCTTCAGCCTAAATTTCTTCCTCCTCCTTTCGTTCTGTTATCCTTCCTATTTTTTTCTTTAGGTTTAATTCCTTGATATCTGACAATATTTTTCCAACTGAATAACTGCATATACTCAGTGGTGTAGCTTTGTTTAACTAATTTGTTCTGGAGTACATTACCAAGTAACTATTTATTGAATTTTACAGACAATATACGTGAATGGATGAGATAAAAACAGCTTTGACATGTTAAAAATCTTTGCTAACAGCTGTTTTATATTGTTATAGTATGTTATAGTATTGTGTAAAAATAATTAAAAAAAGAAACTTCCCCTTTTCAGCATATTGCATTTTGAAGTTCATTTTGTAAAATCCAAATAAGCTTTACGTATTTTTATTGGAAAGAGTTTAAAATATGTTTTTCTCTTTTGTTCAGTCAACCATGCACATGCACCTGTGGAACAGTCCTTAAGACGCTTAGGCGGCAAGTCGCAGACAGATATAATAACTTAGAACATTAAAGAGACCTTTCTACTGCCTCTGAAAACACCAGAAGAGATGCCCAGGGTTTCTGATTAACTTCATGAACATGCCATATTTCTGCTGCAGGGAGGCCTGCAGATGTGGCCAGAGCAACAAAACTGCAATATCTGTAATGTAAGAGGCCTCAGACTGTGCTACAGGGATTAGAGTTAAACTCTGCAGGAAAGTGGATCTCGTAGTCCAGATTTGAGGATCCCTGTCTTACAGCAAGAAGTGGCAAATCTGGTTCAGTCCATGAGGATGAGATGCACTGTATAGGCTACTGTACTTTAAGCAGCTGGTGGACAAACTCACTGCAACTTTTAATGTTTACTGCTCCATTGTGTAGGGACAAAACGTTCTCAATTGTTGTTTCAATTGTTGTATATTTTCATACAAATATTTACATTTGAAATTTTGATAGGAAAATGTGGAAGTCAGAGTTATGTGTTGTTATGCCTGCTTTTGGCAGTTACTCTGTCATATTATTTATTATTATTATTATATACCTTTTGTGTTGTTGTGCTTGCTTTTGGCGGTTACTAAACGTTCTCAATTGTTGTTTCAATTGTTGTATATTTTCATACAAATATTTACATTTGAAATTTTGATAGGAAAATGTGGAAGTCAGAGTTATGTGTTGTTATGCCTGCTTTTGGCAGTTACTCTGTCATATATTATTTATTATTATTATTATATACCTTTTGTGTTGTTGTGCTTGCTTTTGGCAGTTACTTATCTGTCTAAAAACGTTGTTTCCCTGTTACTCATAATACTTTAGTACATTAGTACTTTGACCTGTATAATAATTCATCTACACATCACGAGATAGCCTACATACAGCACCACAGGCAGGATAATATTGCTTTTAATACTTTCCAGTTTCCAGTGAAGAACGGATCTACAACCGAAGTACGCTATTATTCCATTTATTGTCAAGATCAGCTCGACTATCTTCTAAGGAAGAGAGAGAGACACGCCGGCAGAAGTGATTTTCAATGTACGGCATCAGTGGGTAGGTTTAAGAAGAAATCATGTGTGTGTGTGTGTGTGTGTGTGTGTGTGATCCTTGTGCAAGATTGCAGTTGTGTTTGATAAGTGCAGAACATGTTGAAACCCAGTACATCAATATTTTCCCAGCCACTGAAGGTGACCCTTGGCTTCAGTGTTTAAAACCATTACGCCTATGGAATGTCCCCATAAAACATGGAAACACAACATGCGTGTGTGTGTGTGTGTGTGTCTAGAAAACAGCGTGCATTATTTTTAAAACAGCAGCATAGCGTCAGTGGACCATGGTTTTCAACGGGGAAAGGTAGACCAGTGACGCGTATGACGCAACAATTTCATCATCATCTTGATCATCTTACATTTAGACAGCATCGTTATGTTGCGCGAGCCCTATTCTGATCTGCCGAAGACATTTGAATAATGAATAATAATGCGTGCTGGATATGCGATACACTTTTTAAAACAGCAGCATAGCGTCAGTGGACCATGGTTTTCAACGGGGAAAGGTAGACCAGTGACGCGTATGACGCAACAATTTCATCATCATCTTGATCATCTTACATTTAGACATCGTTATGTTGCGCGAGCCCTATTCTGATCTGCCGAAGACATTTGAATAATGCATAATAATGCGTGCTGGATATGCGATACACGCGTTCCCGAAAAGACTATTTTGGTATTTAGGAACTGATATGGGGATTTACTGGTCATCATGTTCTGCGCGTCGGCGAGGAGATTCTGCGGGGCTGAAAATCCATGATGCAATCCCAATAGATTTAATATTTTCACGTTTTACCTAGCTTTTTGTCGTTGTCATCATCATTTCAGAG